AAAACGCGCTGGACGACACCCAGTACGAGCTCAAACAGCGTGACCGCCGCATTCTATTTGCCCCGACTCTGACCGCTGCGATGGGGTTCCTGCACGAATGCCCTGGCTTTGGCCCGGCGTTTCAACAATAGTACGATGGGTCGTTTGTTCGCAACCCTGCGGTGAACATATATTTCGTGGTCGACTGGTGCCTCGGAAGCGTTTACACCAGCATGTACGTCTTTCTTTTGTTTTGCAATTAGGTATCTGGGCTTACTTTTGGCGGCCAGTGCTGACGCAGAGGCGGCCTGGATGCAGTATGGGCGGGGCGGAGACATTCATGCTAAGGTGGGAAGCTACTGGAGCGCAATGGAGCCAGTCTCGACCCTCCTTAGGGGGAAGGTGTGCGTCTTACAGCTTTGCTCCATTTTCTGATAGCTAATTTTCTAGTAGCTCCGCATTTCGGTCTGGTTTCTCTCATGCACGTCGCCCCGCCGAAGAATACATTTTTTTTTCATCTGCACGACGCCTGGTTCCGACTCGCCAATCTTGCTGCACTGACACGCGAAACAATTTTTTGCTGACATTACGACGCCGACGCCCGAGATGAACGCGCTGGCGTTCCACCATAAACTTGTAGAAATATACTGTACAAGCTATACACTGCGCTACACTACTTACGTGCTTTGTGAATGTATTCTGTCGCAGATATAAATGATGAAGTTTCCGCATTTGGCAGCGTAAAGCACTTCGTACTTAGCGAGGTTTTTCTGTATTTGGCAGCGTAAAGATCTGGCATATGATCGGATTGTAACTTAGATCTCTGGCGATCGTTAAGATTCTTAATGGGGCAGAGATTATCGCAACCGGATGGGGAGACGAGAGCATGATATTCTGCAGTACATGAGAACAATGTGCGCAACTAGTTTACAAGCCTCGGCAAAAATCAGAACCGTCATCCGAGCACGCTAGAATCAAGATCAGCCTCGCGCCCAACACACATGAAAGAGAAAAACTGACCGGAACTCAGGACAGCACCTGAACAAGATTGTATGTCAGCATCTCGTTGAAGGCCGCCAATGCGAGTGCCTGCGTCTTGTAGCTCTTCATCGCGCTGCGGGAGACGCCGACAACAGCGGCCATGGCGAGGGCGTTGTTCATAGTAAGCCCGACGTGCTTGCCGCGGGTGACACAATACCAAAGAGGCTCATCGCCTTCGGCGACGGGAGGCTCCGCAACAGCGACGAGAGGGCCTGCGGGGACGACCAGATACAGTGCACCAGCCACCCAGGGACCGTGGGTTTGGAAGCCAGCCGCCGCTGCAGTCCCGGGGGCGGCAGAAGTGACGGCAGCAGGCGAAGCAGCGGCGCCTCCCTGGGTAGAAGCTTTGAAAAGCAGGTATTTAGTCGAAGTGAACGGAATGAGGATGGAAATCTCGTACCTTGGGCGTGAGTGCCCATGGCCAAAACCAGGTGGTGGAGAACGGCGGTGGGTTGAACTGTAAGAGGAGAGAGCGACGTTAGCGGGGGCGTGATGGAGAGAATAAGTACTTACTGTTGGTGCCGGAGACCGGAGCAGAGGAGGAAGCCTCCGCTCCGGGAGCAACGGGGGGGAAAGAAGTCATGATAGTTGGGGTCTGAGTCGTGAAATACGTGCGGGCAGGGTTTTATAGGCCTGCGAGGTTCGTACTCCACCGTGATGGTGACTCAATGGGGGAAGATGGAGATGGGGGAAGATAGAGACTTAGATTGAGCTAGATTGGGGCGAGTTGCTGATGTGATTATAGAAAGATGGACTAACCGGGGGAAACCAACTGCGAGGTCGCGCGTACATATCTTTGTCTTCTCCCATACGAAAAAAATCAACGGCCCGCAGAAAGAGTAGACGGTAGACGGTGAGCTGAAGAAACCCCAGAGGAACTCGAGAGCTGACAACAGAAATCCAGATTTGAGATATGGGCCAGCGCAAGAAAGAGAAACAGACAAGACCGCGGGTCGCCAAAGAGAACCGCCAGAATAATCGCCTTTGGGCAGAAGGCGCCAGAGAAAAAATCCTGAAACCCCACATCCCGGGTTATACCGAGGCTATGGACCAAGGGTGGGCGGCGGAGCGGAGATATTGGAAGAAGGTGTGCAATGAGTATCATGCTCGGGTTAGCTGGAGGCTTGCAGACCACGAGGAGCCCGACGATATCGGATCCTGGGGCCCTGGAGACGCGCTGCCTGTAGAGACCCTATCGACGGAGGAGGAGGCGGAAAAGCGCGGCCGAGTGAAGATACTAAATTTGGTGCGTTATGTCACGCTGTGACTGTACGCGCTCATCTGTCCTCCTCAGCGTATTCGACGATGGTTCAAGTACCGCATTAAACGGATTCGCAAGACCGGGAGTGGGACCGACCCGACCAAAGATCCCTTCGCGCTACTTCTGGCGCAACTTTGTGGACTCACTTCACCGGGGAAAGCTTGCCAAGCCTTTCAGCAGTACATGCACGAGATGTACGACACCGAGATCGCCCCAGTCGTCAATCAGAAGTGGGCTGATGGTGAGAGCGCTCGAGCAGCTGCTGGACAAGCCAAGAAGCCTTTAAAAGCCGGATTTCGCGCTGAGGTCTCACGCCAGATGTTTACGGCACTGTCAAAGACAGACCAGGAGGCCTTCGGCGCGCGGGCGAAACAGGAGGCGAAGGAGAGGAAGGAAGCGTACGAGCTGGCGTTGAAGAATGGGCCGTCGCAGAAGCCTGAAGATCGCCAAAGGTAAGGATTTGTCCATCGTGTAGATTTCGCTAATCAGGTAATCAGGGGCAGGTGTATTGACCGCATTTCCGAATTCATGGGTCCAATCCTGCGGGGAGTATACAACTATACAGGCTGCCATGCCACCGTCATCATAGGAGGCCCAATGCCCAAGTACGGCGGCGAATTGCGGACTGTCCAGTAAGTGTTCTTGATAAAATTGAAAGAGCCATGGAGAAGCCTAACACGAAATGCAGCGTCTCTTACGGGGTGAACCGAACGGCGGCGGCAGACCACTGGGCCCAGTGGGACAAGACCAGGTTCGCGTCCAACGTGTCCGGGTACATGATTGAATATTTGAGGACTGCATATTGTGTGTATACGATTGGGAGGAATGATATGACGCTGACATACTGCCTACAGCTCAGGAGGATTGTGCAAATGCAGCACTGGGTAGCCAGACGTCTGTGCGGCCTGGAGCTGCAAACGGGGTCGCCGTGGACGATGACAGTGACCGCGACTTGGTGTTCCTATCTGACGACGAGACCGACGATGAGGAGGACGACGAGGACGAGGACGAGGAGGAGGTGGGGCGCTCTCGTAAGAAAAGGAGGGTCGCGACGCAGAAGACCGGGGCGGCAGATGGAGGGGCGTCGTCAAGGGGAGAGGCGTCGTCAAGGCGCGGGGGGGCGTCGTCGAGCGAGGGCCATGGCGGCACCGAGGAGCAGGAGGAGCAGGAGGAGCAGGAGGAGCAGGCGGAGCAGGCGGAGCAGGCGGAGCAGGCGGAGCAGGCGGAGCAGGCGGAGCAGGCGGAGCAGGAGGAGCAGATGAAGCAGGAGGAGCAGGAGGAGCCGACAATGGAGCAGGTGATCGCCGCGGCGGAAATGAAGGTGTTGGCGGCAGAGAGGGAGGAGGCGATGGCAGAGCTGGCTGCAAAGAAGGCTGAGCTGGCCCACGCGAAAGCATGCGAGCGTGCCGGTGACGACGAGGAGGACGAGGGACTCATCCAAGCGGTTGCGACGGCGCACGACACTCGGCTCGAATACGCCCGAGCCTACGAAGGCTCGCGGGCTGCGCGCATCGCGAGAAACAAAGCACGGCTCACCAGTCTGAACGTGGTCGGCGACATGGAGGCGCTGCTGGATCCGCTGACAGCAAAAAAGTCGGCCAAGAAGGCCCAGAAAAGGAAGCCAGACGCACCGCCGGCCGACAGGCCAGCGCCGCGGAGATCGCGACGCTCCAACCCCACCAATACAGCACCTACCACCGACAACGAGCCCCTCGACCAGACGCCGGACGACGCGCCTGCCCCGCGGAGGTCGCGACGCTCGAATCCCGGGTATACGGCGCCTACACCTACCACGACGACATCCGACAACGAGCCCCTCCCCGAGCAGATGCGTACCGCTGCGACGCCCGACCCCTCAACCACAGCCTCGGCGACACCACCTGTCGCGGACAGCGAGTCCCCCAATCAGATCCCTGAGGGGCGCGGCAGTCTGCGTCCTCCGCAGGAGGGCCAGCTGCTCCCCATCGGTCAAGACCCCGCCGTGGAGCGTGCGAGACAAGCTGGGGAGGCGCTAGGCGCTGTGGATTTGCTGGCGTGCCCGGCGTCGGCACCCGCATGGTTCGTGGATGCACGTGGCGATATCACGAGGGAAGGCCTGGGTCCCCACTATGACGCGGTCATCGCGGCGTGGACTCGGATGGAGCAGGCCTCGCGATTCGAGCAAGGTCCCACGAATTTATCCAGTAAAGGGTGCCCGAAACAGGTCGGGGCTTGGATCACTAATGCGCGCGGCAAACGTGGAACGACGCCAGCGGTGCCAGATCCAGCAATGTACGCGGTGGAGTGGCAGGGGTGGTGGGACTCATTACAGCCAGAGTGGAGACGGAAAGAGGGGGATGGAAGGTGGTCAGTGACAGAAGGATACGGAGAGGGAGGGCGGGAGTGGGGCTTGCTTTACCACTGGGGCATTAATGGAGTACTGAGTGTCGTCGCATCCCTTTATTTCTGGGGATGCGCTGTCCGCGGCGGTGACCCCGTTTTGCAAGCCAGCTGGGAGGCTGCAGTAGGAGATGTGGGTTGGATGTTGGAGGGTATGGCGACCTACTACGAAAAATTCAACAAGAAGTTTTGAATATATTGTGGTCTTCGTTTGTCTGGGTATTTCTTCAAGTTTGTGAGTGGAGGCGGAAGTGGACTTACGAAAAATATGAGAAGACTGAGTGCGACTACTGCAATAAAAAAGAGTACCACTGTTTAGAGCGGTGGTACTCTTCTCCAAGGACCGCGGTGGGATTCGAACCCACAGCCTCTCGTGTGCAGTGCCGAAACTCTGCAAGGGGAACAGTTTCCTCTAGACCAACGCAGTCGTCTATCTCGGGGAAGGGCAATGGCCAGGAGGTTGAGAACAAGTTTACAAGTAAATTACTGCCAAAGTTTATTTTAATTGGAGCTGGCGAGATTGAGGACAGAAGAATATTTAAGTATGTAGTAGAGGAGCAGCGGAGGGGCGGGACCGGGAGCGGGTAACAGCGTGGGAACAAATTTGGATGATGCCACAAAGGCTAGGATATATTATATGTGTAAAAGGCAGCTGGGATGACGCGGCAGGGTGCTAATAGCGAGCGGGGTGGGCGGGGTGCTGATCGCGGGTACTGATCGCGGGCGGTGCTGATGGCGCGCGTACTGATGGCGGGCGGTGGTTGGGAGTGCGGGTGCTGACGGGTGCTGATGGCGGCAGGGAGGCACGGCTGGGACCGTGGGAGTAGGAAGCGGCAACTACCGGACAGCAATTTTCAACCAGATTGGGAACGGGGTAACGAGCAAAAAAATAAGCGGGCAGCAATCAATTAATTAGAACTAGGTATCTATATGTATGGGGCTAACATACCGGTGCAAATAGAGCAAAACCACCCCCTGGGAGCTGCCCAAATGGGAAAGGTGAGAGTGCATGGCTGTAGCCACCTGCTGGCTAGGTCCGTGGTTTTAGGTTGTATTTTCCATGGCTACAGCCTTGTGCTTTAGTCTATATATTAGGGCTATGGCTCAGAGATGTACTCCCAAGACGGCGGGCGCGACGACGGGGATGAGGGAAGCCCAAACCCGGACACTAACAGGTCTCGAGGCGAACCAGACCCGCAACGTCCCCCCGCCCCACAACAGGTCGCACAGGGCATGCAAAACGCGCAGAACGCACCTGACGACGGCACCCAGTCCCCCCTGCAACCCCCGTTCGCCGACAAGGTACGCACATAAACCTGCGCACCCCAAACAACCACACAAGCTCACAAAACACCCTGACAGAACTCAGGAGCCCAATCCACGTCCTCCCCCCCGACCGTGATGCCAACCGAAGCACGCTTCCTGGCCCGCCAACCTACACACAAGGCCGAGAACCCCCACTGCAAGGCTCGCCCATACGAACAGACCCTCAGCGGCCCAGAGGACGTTGGGGCAGACGTCTCCTTCCAAAGAAATGACGGGTCCTTCGATGCCCCCGTCATCGACTGCATGGTCGCCCTCGAGAACGTCGAGGCAGGCTTCGTTGCCACCCTCAAGGAGACTCCCGAGGACTGGACGCTAGTGGCCTTCCACCTCGGGGGATCCCAGATGTTCGAGGCATGGGGCATCGAAAATCTCACCAAAGCTGTCATCAGCGTCCTGACCCACGCACGCCTGGCCGTCGAAGACAACATCGAGCTCTTCGCCCTCGCAGCAGACAACAAACACCCATCCAAAAACCTGTATGGCCACCCCTGCGTCATGGCCATGCGCGTCCCGAACCACACCATCCAAGCCCGCCTATGCGACATCGGCACATTCCCGAGTGAGAGGGACCTGACCTTCGCAGTCGTATCATTCGACCCCAACTGCCGCACTTGGACCATCAGCCTCTGGAAAGTCCTATCCAGAGCAGAAAAGCCAACGACAGGGCCCCGGCTCTGCTGGGCAGTCGCCAAGGCGATCCTAATGAACCCTGCTGTCGTGAAGGCAGTTGAGAGAGCCACAGGCGCCACCGACACCTGCCCAATCTTCGACCGCCTACTCACGCTCGCCCACAGCGTCAACGTCTGCTTCAACCCCCACTCCCGGCACTGGTGCGCATATGCCAAACCGTGCACGGCCGACGCCAAACTCTGGGAGGAGGTCCGGGCCGCGATCCGCACCATCAGCCTTAGGCACAATGCAGGGATGCTCGCGTTCGAGCCGGTGCAAACGACCAGGGGAAACGAACCCCCGTGGTGCCAATACTGCAAGAATGATGACCACGTCCACTTCGGATGCCCCTTCCCGCTTGACAACTCAAGCACGTACTGGGGCCCAGCGGAGACCGCTCTCGCCCAAATTAAAACCGGAATCCTTAGCAGGAACCCAAAGAAGGGTGGTGAGACCGCGCGAGGTGGGAAACCAAAGCAAGGCGGCGCACGCAGTGGCGGCGGCGGCCAGGGTGGGTACGACGGAGGATCCCAAGGTAGAGGTGGTTCCAACCGCGGAGGCCGCTGGTAAGCACCAGAGGCGGGACGAACTTTCTCCTCCCTAATGACACGTACCCTCTACCCTCATGTCACAAAAGTATATGTAACCCACATCGTCGATCCGGATAAACTAAACTATCCTGTGGCCCCTCCCAATTAAACATCCATAAGCTCATCTAACACAGAAGACCCCCCAGTTCTGGGACTGGAAGAAGTTGTGCACCTGAACTCAAGACGCACGCACCCCGATCTCCCCGGAGGTTACAGCCCTCTGCGCAAGTACGGAATAGGCTGAGGAGAGAGGGTTAAAGTGTATCCCGAGCGACGGTGCCCCGGCACCGCCGTGAAGGATGCGCCGCAACGGCGGGACTTATTTAAGTCGGGGACCGCCGGTCCAGCAGTCCTGGCATGTCGGTCGGAACCTTGCCGTTCCCCAAGAGAATAGCGAGGGGAAGCCGTCATCCCCAAACCAAGGTAGGAGTTCCCGTTGCAAGCCCTAGCGAGGCAGCGACGGTTCCTTTCCCCACGCAACTAACAACCCACAGCAACTTTTTAATACTAACGGTGATTTCTGCAGCCCAGGTTCGAGTCGTATAACTGCCGGAGGGCACGACGACTCAGGCTCCGGCCGCCGTGATCCCAATGATGGCAGCCAACGTGGAGGAGAACATTCGGGGGGAGCTCCCCCCTGAGTGCTGCAGCCAACGGGCTGCAGCGAGGTCAAGGAACACCCTTCGTACCTCCGCTTGTATTGCACATACAGCGAGAGCTTACAGTGCTCGACGGCGGGCAACAGCCCGCCGAGGCTTGTGTCAACGACACGCAGCCGGGTCCGGGCAACACGCCCCACCCACCGCATCCAATGCGGGAGCTACCAGCTCAGCAGGGGATAACACACCCCCTAGACGATCTCAACCGAGACTACCACCAGCAGAGTCCAACGCAGGACTGACCTGAACCCGTCACCCAGCAAGGAACGGGGATAAATCCCATCCCGCCGGAACCACCACCACTGCCACGAAATATGCGCCGCAACCCAGGCCTATACCCAGGGCCAGACAACCGATCTCTAGGCAGCAGGAAGAAGATAACCAAAGCATCTGTTAAACTGGCGGCACTAAATATGAGCGGGATGGGCAATCATAGCCTCTGGCATATCGACAATAAATGGTTCCATCTCTGGCAGGAGATCAGGACAAATAAAGTAGGGGTGATGATTGTAGGCGAAGCCCACCTAAATGCTGAACGTCACCGTGACATCGAAAACCTCTTTGGAAGATCACTGAAAGTAGAGTTCACACCGGACCCTACAGCACCAACAAGCAGAGCGGGGCTAGCCTTCGTCCTGAACAAAACTTTAATGAGAACGGACAATGTGGTAACCCACACCGTAATACCAGGCCGAGCAATGCTCCTCGAAGCGGAATGGCACGGCAAAGATCCTCTATCAATACTTGGGGTATACGCACCGAACGCGCCTGCCCAGAATGCACAATTCTGGAGAGATATTAAACAATGGTTCCTGAACAACCCGGGAGTGCTAAAACCGGATGCAATAGGGGGCGACACGAACATCGTCGAGGATGCCATTGACCGACTCCCCGCACACATTGACGCAGACGAAGCAACAACAGAACTGGACAATCTGAAATCATACCTTGGGCTAGTCGACGGCTGGCGGGCCACATACCCGACCACAAGGGCATACACATACCTCCAAACAGCAACGAACTCCCAATCACGCATAGACCGAATATATGTCAACCACCGAATTACCGACCAAACCTACAAATGGGAAATCCAACCCGTAGGCTTCCGCACGGATCACCAGATGGTATCGGTCCGTGTAACAACCGCAGATGCACCCACGACAGGCCCGGGACGCTGGGTCTGGCCAAAATCAATTATGAGCGACAAAATCTTGAAGGAATACATCCAAACGGAAGGCCTGAAACTCCTATGCCAACTGCTCAGCATGGCACGACGGCCAAATGTGAGAGCAAACGATTATAACCCACAAGCAGCGTGGGCAGATTTCAAGATGCGCATCATCCGAATGGCGAGAACGCGGGCGAAAACAGTCATCCCAAAGGCCACACAGGAGATCAAAGAGACAGAGGCACAACTAGAAATAATCCTAGGGGATCAGAGTGTATCAGAGGAGGAACGCAAACTGTCTGGAGCCGTACTCACACAAAAACTCACACATCTATATATCAGCCGCCACAAAAAGGCCAGAATTGACTCCCACATCCGGAACCGGCTTGAGGGCGAGGTCATCAGTAAATATTGGTCAATGATTAACAAACCAAAGAAACCCCGCGATGTAATCCACCGACTGAAAAACCCCGAAACCCAAAGAGCCCAACAGAATGCCCATGCACGCACAATCTATGAGACAGACTCAAGAAGAATGGCGAACATAGCCAGAAACTACCACAACAACATCCAAGCGGAGCGCAAAGAGACCCCCCGAACAGAACGTGATAACACGATCCAACGTGTACTCAGCAGAACTGCACGGAAAGTGACGGATCAACAAGCTGAAGACCTCGCGAGAAAACTCACCAGAGAAGATATCACTGAAGCGCTAAAGCTGTCAGCAAACAACCGAGCCCCCGGAGAAGACGGCATAATGTACAAGATCTGTAAAGTACTAGACTCAAGGTTCATCACCCTCAAAAAGGAGGGGAAGCCAGCGTTCGACATCCTCGAAGCCCTGCGCATAGTATACAATGACATCGAAGCCCACGGGATGGTGAAGGGCACAGGATTCTCGAAGAGCTGGATGGCGCCCTTCTATAAGAAGAACGACCGTGCTGATATTGCCAACTATAGGCCAATCTCCCTCCTCAATACGGACTACAAAATCATGACCAAAGCGCTCACCATCA